TAGCATTTACAGGTAAAGACACTCACCACCGGTAATCATTGTACAGAGAACATCTGTAATACATTTGAATCCTAATCTACCAGTAACTATTGAGACAGAGATTTCAAGGTTTTAATTCTAAAATAATTTTTGTGATACAAATGATTAACTAGAATGTACATGTATATGTATGCATTGAGGAATCATTATATTTTGTGGATTTTTTTTTCATGGGTACCACCCATCAAAAAATTTACTATGCCATTATGACAAATACCCCCACTGACAGGTAAGTTTTAATTAGGGATGTCAATTTTACACTGACAGTTTAGTCAAATAGTTGGATGCTTTAGTTGAACGATAGTCGAGTACTCATTGAAATATATTTTTGTGTGTATCAATGTCAAGGTGTGTCATTTTCAGACAGGTACAATATTTAATACATGCTACCATCACATGCTTAGTATCTTGGATTCAACATTTAAGTAGAAATAAATATTTGAACTTAATATATTTGATTACAAAATCATTATTTTACTGCATATGTTATCTATATAAGATTTTCAAATACTGTATACTTTTGATACAGTCATGTACTTTGATGTTATGACAGCTTTGTAAACTTCTAACACATACATACCCTGATATTACAGCAGGCCACACACTTCTCATAATTTTCCTCGGAACCTCTCGTCAGCTTTTTAAGGGGATTCCTAAGGAGTCTTTTGATCTTGTTTTTGGACAATCCAGCAAATTCCGGAGACTGGAGTTTCTCCTCCAGAGGGCGCTTTATGGTCTTCTTATCTTTGTTCTTATCCACATCGTTTGGACTATATCACAGCAATAAAAATTGCAAATTGTGTTTCATCACTTTTACATACAACATGTACACTGTATGACAAGGATTAAATCATATCCAACTCTTGAATTTATTTTCCCAGAACTACATCTACATGACCATGTTTATATATACATGTAATTCACATCTGCTTCTAATAATAATGTTTTGACATACTTCAATTAACGCTCCTAACTTTAAAAAGGTAGTTCTAGCCTATTCAAAGACATACAGTCATAAAAATGTTCTGAATAAAAAACCTACTCTGGTCTGACATAGGGCTGACAAATCCAGTAAGGGAAAGGTAACTCTGATGAAAACAGTTCAGGGTTCTCTTTGTATTTTTCTGCATCTGCCTACAAAACAGAATATTATTTTAACATGATTTCAAAAAGGACATTTTAAAACAAATATATATACCATAACAAAAATGGAATGCTGTTTCTGATTTGTCTATCTATTTTGATTGTCTTGATCTTCATTTTGAAGTGAACCTAACCAGGCATCTCTCCTTCAGTTTCAGGGTAGCCAGTCTGAAGCACTCTAAAGACCTTCCAACTGCAATAAGCTCACGAATATCTGCATGTACGTTAAGGCTGAAACAGAAATTATGATCAGTGTATAACTGTAAAGGATCTTATTATGGTGGTTAAACATGCATGTGAGATGTGGTTTATAAACCTACCTGTGGTGAAACACCTTGAAGATGTGTCCCCTGGCATACGATAGAGGACAGGGGTACTTCTCAGCCATCTCAAGGTAGTCCTCAGCCATTTTCCAAACTGGGGGGCTGTCGCCAGTGAACAATGCAGGATTGTGTAGGTTTCCCTCTATAAAAAAAAATAAAAATAGAGCTAGAGATTTTAGAGAACTGAGAATGTATCTGTTCTATAGCCACAATCATTATTAACAATGCTGATTTGTACAGGGAAGTATGAACCCTGAATGATCCCTGACCTGCTGACATGACCCCCTGAACTCCTGTTTGATCTATACACCGCTCCACGTCAGCTAGATACTGTATGTTACCATTAGCAAATACAGGAATTGAGACACTCTCCCTACAAAAAATATTTTTTAAAAATTTCAAACATATTCTCTCTACAATAACTTAAAACATGATACTTAAAAAATACTTCCATCTTGGATGAACTACAAGCCTGAGATTAAGAGATCCATGGACCACAAAGCTCAACATGCAGTCACATTATCTTCAAAATATTACATGCACCCTAGCCCTAGGAGCCATAAATAAACACTGAATGTACACTATCTGAAGATGCTTACATATAAATATGACTAATCATGATCATGTTGTTCTTTACAAGATTTTTAAAAAAAGATTTTTTTTTAAAATTCTCTATTGTGGTCCCATCCTACATCTTTAGTACTAAGATTTTTTTCTATTTATTCCTATGTAAAACATTCTATTGTTTGTGACTCTACCCTATCTCCAACAGGTCATGCTTAGAACAATGTAGAATCTGCACTACTTGAGAATGCTACTAATCATGATCCTGCTATCCTTGAATAGTAGCCCATGAAAATTTTAATACTTTGAGGTCACATCCAACCCCAGGGGACTATGATTTGAATAAACTTGAATCAACTTGATCAGCATGTCAGGAAGCTTTCACATTAGTTTCATCATTTCTGGCAGAGTGGTTCTTGAGAAGAACAATTTTTATGACACCCAACCTATTTTTCTTGATTATCTCACATTTCATGAGGTCATGTCCCTTTATTTAAAAAAAAATTAAACCTCCCTCACCCAAGGCTACTCTATGCCATGTTTGGTTGAAAGTGACACAGCGGTTCTGGAGAAGAAGATGAAATTGTGAAAAGTATATGACCACGATGACAAATTTTGATCACAAAAGGTCACTTGAGCCTTTGGCTCAGGTGAGGTGACAAACTTTTACTCAAATTCCAATGGGGTCCAAAGTGTAAAATTCTTCATACAGTACATGTATATACATATGTAGAATTCAACAGTATTTTTTTTTAATTTTAAAATTAATCTTTATTTTATAAAATGATGCATTTTATCATTTTTGTCCATTTACTGAAGCCTCTTCCTCCCTCCTCAAACTTTTGCATGAAGTAAAAGAATATTTGGTTTAACCACAATGACTAAGGTATCTGACCTGATGAGTTTGATGATATCCCAGTCTGCCAGGCCTGTAAATCTTCCCTTCTGTTCCTTTGTCCGACCATGTACAGTCAACAGCTACAACAGTCAATTGTAGCAAATCATAAATCTTTATTTGCTTGCTAGATAGCTTAGTACAATTTGGTCTGTAAAGTACCACATCTACATCATGAGGCTACTGAGGTAAGTAGCTGATTTAATTTTTATAAACATTATAATTCATACAGTTGAATGCTAGTCACAGCTCTTTCACGTTTTCAGCATTTTGTAGGTGAGAAAAGGGATATTCATATTTATCTGGCAATAATCAAACGACTGCTTAAGGATCATAATACACAGAAAGTTGTGACCAACAAGAATTTTACACCTTACATCTGTAGCCCCCTCTGGACAACCTTTTTATCTTGACTTAACAATTGGCTCATAAAATATAATCAAGGATAATTTTGTAAACAGATGCAAAGACAGACAGACCAACTCAATATGCTCTCAATTTTTTGTAGACAGCTCTTCCTACCTGACAGCCAGCCTTTTCCAACATCTGTGCGTAGAGTACTGTCTTCTCTTTTGACTCAAATACTCGAATCTTACATGTAATTGGAACCTTCAACTTTTGATGACAGAGTGCAACTACAATATGACATATCTAATCAACTGTTTCTCCTAAAGTTATATCTACATGTTTAGTTACTTAGTGATGATTTATTGAACTTTCCTATTGAGCTATATTAAAAGTCATCATTAAACACAAAATCTCTATAAAAAGACAAAAGCTATCATAACTTAATCACTGATATGAAATAATGAATAAATAATAAATGTACCCATTTTTTTCAGTAGGTCCCACTCATCCTCTAAGAATGCTCCATAGTGACCTCGTTTGGCAATAGTCTGAGGACAACCAAGGTTTAAATCAACTGCATCACAAATATCCTCCACATACTGGGCTGCCCTCAGGAATGTGTCAGGGTCATTGGCACAGAACTACAGTATAATAAAGTATCAGTCTGGTGTGCTTCATTCTGAAGTAGGAAGAGACTGCCCATCATTCCTCTAATACCACCTTTTCTTACCTGTACAATCAGTGGCCTATCCTCTGGACATGTCTGCATTGCTTCTTTCCGGTAATTAGGATCCCGAACAAAAACTGATGAGTGAAACATGGGGGTGTAACATAGCTCTGCTCCATATTTACGGCTCAACATTCGCCAGGCCAGCTCACTTGCATCCACCATTGGTGCCACCACATACTTGGCTGAATTTAGAGACTTTTTCCAAAAATCGAATCCTGAAAGCTTCCTCTCTACCTGTGAATTATTTATTCATTTAAAATTACTAATTTATCTTTTTAAAGAACAAAAACTGTGCAAAATATTCCAATTTGAGATCTTTTTTCCTAACAAGAACAAAATTTTACAAATTAAAATCCATAGATAATTTTCATTGCTGCAGAAGTTTCTAATGGATACCCAGTGTATTTATCTTACAGTACTGACATGTGTTGCCCTCAAGTTACATCACTCTTCTAATATAAACATGGCATTTGTATGGAAATAAGAAACAAGTCATATGGAACCATTAAAAAGGGAAATAGAACAATCTAAAAGTAGCTAAATACCAGGTAAACTACATTATACGTATAAAATGTCCCTGTAGTGGAAATTAATTGAAATACCTGAATCACCTCTTCTTGTTGACGTTCTTCCATCTTCCACATGTTGACACTGAAGAGCTGACACGGGAGCTAATACTGAAATTTAATGTTGAAGGATCGTCTCAAAAACCAAAAATATTTTTAAAATATTTATTTACAATGTGAAAAAACTGCTTTATAGAAGTTAAAAGAAAAATAGTAGAAAGCAATTTATTAATATTTTTTGAACCACAGTAATCTTGGAATTGTCAGTGAGTTTTTTTGCACATTTTCCGGATATTTTCTGTTCTTTTGATTAATATTTTAAAATTTAGGATCGTCACATGACAAAACTGGTTATTCTGCTGAGAGTTGAGAACCAGGTTATCAGGGAAGAACTTTCAAGAAGTAGGCGGTGTAAATGCAAACTTCATTAGAGACGATTCCAGTGTTTAAATAAACACAAGGTTAGTCTAGTTTGGCCTATACTGAGAAGCACAGGTTTCTGTGTTTAGCAGAAGAATTTGTTGAAAGATCCACAGTGTAGATATACTGTAGACCCCCTCCTAAAAAAAAATGAACTACAGCAGTTCATGCATTTTTTTTTAAATTAATTTTAAGATGGTGTCAATTAATACTGTTAATGGAAACTTACAATAAATTGTAAGGATGTGAGAGCAAATGGAAAACGTTTGAATATGATTTAACATCAGTGTGATTGTTTTTATGTAAAAATTTTGAAGAGAATATTCAATCATTAATATGATATTGGCCTGTCCTTAGACACAGTTATATTATTCTAACTATAGTCTATTCACAAAGGAGGGAACTGCAATTTGACCTTATAGGAACTGAAATATTAACATGTTTTTGTTGTGTGGTTTTTTTTCTCTTACACCTTTAGTACCAAATGTAACTGTTTATACATATGTCAATGAAAGATGAAGAAGAAGATGATGAGCTACCAGTCATAAGTTCATACTTTAACCATGTTAACCAGGTCTGGCACAATCTCATGATTAAGCTATATAGCTTTATTAAGCTATTCAAAATAGCTTGATTTAGCTATTTCATAACACTTTTTTCTTACATGTGTTATTTTTGCAGCATGCACAAAAAGTTGAACCTTCAGTTGGTGCAGTGGAAGTATTCAACTTTGAACTCTTCTGAAAACATTGCATGTAAAATTCACACATCAAATTGTGTCTTCTTGGCACAGGTGCTTGGGGACGGGACCCTCCCCCCCCCCCCCTCCATTCTGTACCCCAAGAGTTCTTCAACTTTTTGTATGAAATATTTTCTATGACACATTCACGAAGTATTACAATCGAAAAATCCAGAATTTAATTGTAGCTCTCTGGTCGTCCATCCCAATTTTTTTCAGACCAGCTAGCTACCTGCAGCTAGGAATATGACTGCTTTTTCCTTATTGTCTAAGGCATCTTTTGAATGATTTAATCAAGTGGCTTCATTAGATTCAGTTTTACCCCCTGCATATGTATAATTTGGGAAATAAGAATATACTGATAGACATGATTTATGGATGATCTTTATTACATCATCAGTTCATGTACAAAGGTTGTGTAGACTGCAGCTCAAGTTTACAATATTTTCTATGTCTTTTCTGATAGCACAGCTTAAAAAAAGTGAATACTGAAAAGATAAGTAGCCTTCTGGTCTGAAAATTTTTCAATGAACAACAAAGATTGGACATCCTAATTCTATTCATACCAGTTCGTACTATCCAGATTTGTAGCTTACTGAAAACATAAAAGTTGTGAAAGAAAATATACTTTACAAAGAAGAACCTCAGGCTATACTCTGATCTTTTCATTAATGTTGTACAGTTTTTATTTCGCCTGAGTGTATTGATACAAACAAGAGTGCATGCAGATATGAATTTGTCAGGGTATCAGAGGTTTAAGGTTTACTTCATCCTATAGAATTTTATCACTGAGTTTAAGATTTTGCCTATATTCAATAGTGAGTTTTTTTAATCATAATCAGTGATTAGGGGACTTTCATCATATTTTATAAATCCTCTTCAACTTTTTTGACATGGCATCGATACCTGCCATGTTTTACGTCTTATGTAAATTTTAACAACACATAAAAAGGTTACTTTTAGAGGAGTCCCAACTGAGTAATCCATGTTGTTGTCAGTTGCTTCAAATACGGATACTCTGCTGTGATCCATTATATTTCAACAGCAGTAAAATAAACGACATTTGAGTCTATGATTTTTTGTTAATGATAAAGCACTTGTCTGTGGGCAGGTACCACTTGTCAAATAACTTGGCAATCAAACAAAATTGGTTGTCCTGGGCATTGGGCAATGCTATTTGTCTAGCCCTGGCTTATACAAAAAATATCATTTAGCAGACCTAAAGCAATGGTTAATGTCAAAATATAGGGATGAGATATGCATTTGTTTGGGTTAATAATGTTTTCAGTTTCCTTTTCAACAGAGGAAGAGTGGTATATATATAGGAGGAGGATGTATAATTCCTAGTAAATATGGTAATTAATTGAGCTTGATGTATGAAGGGAAGGTCATTACACTAAATTTAATAAATTGTTCCATGTTTTCCTTTAGTTAGCAATCTTGACAGAATATGCACCGTCTTTGTTTACCTTGAATGGTACAGGAAGATGTGAGATCTATATAATATAGATGTGAAACAAAAAAATATGGGGGAAAAGATCAGTTAAAAGATAAATTAATTAAAATAACATCCTGATCACACTGATGACATACCAAGCATTTACAACAAAAAACTTTAAAAAAAAAACATGATCATGTAATGTAATACTGGGTGTAGGTAGATACTGCCTAAGTCTGATCACACTGATGACGTACCAAGCATTTACAACACAAAAACATAAAAAAAACCACGATCATGTAATGTAATACTTGGTGTAGGTAGATACTGCCTAAGGCTGCAGTTAAAATAAATCTTGATTCAAGATACTTGGTTATAGGAAGAGGTGTAGTTGATCAGGAAGAAGAATATAATATTAGATAGTGATAGAGACAATTAATATCTTTAATGCTTGCTTAAATTGTTACAAAAAAAGAGAACAAAAAACAGGTGCAATTTGAGCAGTGTTCTGTTCCAGCTTTCTTACATTACAGAACTAATTTCTTAAGGACAGATGATACAAACAATAAAATAGATGCCTGGATTGGTATATATTTTTTGACCTATTTTGGTTGTAAATTATGTGAATATTAAACTTGTAAAATATGAAGAAATTGTAAACTTTCTATGATGTTCAAAATTCTACCTTTCTGCAGTCATCCTTATTAATATGTAACAGAAGAGGAGAAAAATGCGACAGACCAGACCGGAATTTAAACCAGGGTCCCCTGAATCTCCAGTCAGGTGCTCTACTAGCTGCAGAACTGTAGCATTATGGTTCTATATTTTAGTCTTTGACCATAATGCTACAGATCCTGTAATGCAAATATGGTGCAATTTTTGGTGCAAGATTTTCTGCACACTTTGGGGATGTATTAAAAGTTTATGTGCGTGAAAGTCAGTCGATATATCAGTCTCAATAGCTCAGTGGTTAAAGCATTGGCACGATACACCAGAGTCGCTGGGTTCGAGTCCCAGTTGAGACTTGATTTTTCACCACCTGTGACATTTGGCCCCCAACATGCAAATACCCACTATTCCCTGGGAACGTCTTACAGCATTTCCTTAACTCCTAGAATTCGAGGACAAATTTCTACAAAGAGGGGTAATATGTCACCAGGTACACAGATGTGTGAAAGTCAGTCAATATATCAGGTCTCAATAGCTCAGTGGTTAAAGCGCTGGCACGCCAGAGGCTCTGGGTTCGATTCCCGGTTGGGATTTGACTTTTCACCACCTGTGACTTTTGTTTGTATCATCTGTCCTTAATATGCTACAGTAGTCATGTCTTATTCTGTTTATTGAGCAGTTTTAGCCCCTTTTTATGCACCTTTTTATTAAAAAAAGAAAAAAATCCATTTTAATTTTTTAAAGCCCAGAAACTGCTCTGACATTGTTTGATCAGCCCTACATAAATAAGATATATAAACTTGGGTAATGAAGGAAGGAAATATTTGACTTTAAAATGACATATTATAAGTTATTAATTGGTATTTTTGTTTGTAAACTGGTAACACTAACCAAGTACTCATTGCACACAACAATTAGCATTAATTAACATTAACATGACACATTAATTCAAAACTTGCCAACATGCATCCCCCAACAAAAAACTGAAATGATCATTGTATATATAAGTGCCTAATTCTGTAATGTTATTAAGATTTTGATGACTTAAAGTATATTTGACCTTTATCACAATACCGAGTTAATGATGTTATTAAAGTTCAGAAACAGCTGATAGGTTATCACATGACAATAACTGTAATCTGAGTCATGTGACTTGTACTTCTGCAGCTGTTTTCATCTTTGATTGCTGTTCTATACAAGCATATTTCCTATACCATATGTAAAGAGCTTGAAAACTAGGCAAGATTGACAGCTAGGTAGCCCAAATATTACCTGAGAAGTCACTCAGGTAAGAAGTGAACACATTCTCGTGTTGGGGGGCTGGATGTTTGTTTTGTGTAAACTGAATATACACATTTCTTATCTGCTGTATAATTGAGAAGTGGGAATCAAGCTAACACTTGGGCAAGTGTGCTTTTTTTTTAAATTATTCTTTATATTTATTTATTTTAAGATAAATTAGCATTGTCTACCATGTGATTCTATATTTTTAGTACAAAATGTTTCTTAATAACTTAATGGTTATACATGTATATAAATATATATTGTATCCATAAGGAACATCAGTCCCTGTGTTTCTATTGGATGAAATGAAGAAAGTCAATTCCCCCTGTGAACTCTTTGGACTGAATTTTGGTACAATTTGTTTCCCTCCTCTGAGTCAATTTTTTTAACTTATAACTTGTCACTAAGTTGTCCATTATATTATAACTTCTGAGAGGTTTCCTGTCTTGGTTCATAGTTTTTATTTTTTTCCCTGTTGTATTAATACTCCTTATGCCAACTAAGTGTATGGGTCAGACAGAAGTGCTTAGTTAATCAGAACAGGATATAAAGATGCCTATTAGCCATTATGATGTGTTAGTGATATATTATACAATTATTGACAATTATCGGTCAACCAATACCTGACCAGGTCTGTATAGTCAAGGTTAGACTGAAATCAAAAGTCAAGAACCATTTTATTAAATAATAGGAATTTTTCACACTACAGTTCTTCTGTCTTCAACAAATTTAATTACACATTCCTGATAATGTGTTGTGTAGCTATACATGTATATCATAATGTAATTTTATTACATTTTCAACAGTGAAATACTGTGATTTATTTATTGAATAAAAGTGATATTCTCTCACAGTGTGAAAGGATGCCAAAATGATATTCTCTCACAGTGTGAAAGGATATCATAGTAAGTAAAAAATAATTTCTAGACTGTCATAAGATAGAGATAGTAACTAACGATCTTGATAGAGCTAAAACTGCAAATTTCTTCCCAAATATGTTGCTGAAAGCCATGCTATGTAATGTTTTCAATCTCAGAACTGCTAAGCTGTGACATCTCAACCACTCAACTATGACGTCAAGCTTATGACACTGTATTAAGAAAAGACAGAGGCAAAGGGAAAATCAAAGAAAATGTAATAAACAGAAAATTCAATGTTTTGTAGATGAATATGGAATTTATTTCACTCGTGAGACAGGGTTTTTTTGATATTTTCACTCGTGCTTTGCACTCATGAAAATATAAAAAAAATCCTGTCCCACTCATGAAATAAATTCCATATTCATCTACAAAACATTGAGTATCCTCTATATATTTCAACAGGATAAGACTGTTTAAAAAAGCGGAAAAGAGTGTAATAAAACACTAAATACTCAACCATTTATTATGCCTTTCTTCAAAGAAGGGAGGGCATATTGCTTTGCTGCTGGCTGTCAGTCGGTCTGTCTGTCGGTCCACCAACAGTTTCAGTTCATTTTCTTCCCAGAGGTTGCACATACTAAAATGAAATTTGGGATACAGATTTATCATAAAAATATCTAGGTCAAGTTTCATTCCATGATGAGATGGCCTTTCTGAACAGTGAGAAAGAGAGAGTATATTTAGAAGTATATCAGTAAACGTTTGTAGTTTCTTCATGTAAAAGTCTTGTTTGATGAATTGTATGGACCAATAGAATGTTTATAATCCAGTTAGATGGTTTAATCTGGATATTAATATGAGATCCTATTAGAAGTTCAAAAAACTTATGGCCAGCTGTTGGGTGTAACTGGTAAATTGTGATAAGATGTTTGACCTTTTAAGGACACTGACATTATATTACCTATGTAATTAAGGCTTACAACATTCCTGTGTCTTAAAGGGGAAAAAATACATGTGTTCTGACAGCTTCCAAAATAAAAAAAAGAGGAAATAGTTTTGCACACATTATCAGATTTTTAAAAAATCTTTCTGCAGACTTGGCATAGTTGTGAGGAAGAATCTTCAAACAAATTCAATGGTTTCGCATAATAGAAAACTTAAGGAAATAAACAAGTGAATACAATGTGGTTGATAAAATTACTAATATTCAGGTAGACTTGGTTCTGAAACACTGTGTTTATTTAATGTACATTGTCAGTAAACCCTGCAAAGGATTGTTGTAATGTTGACTTTTTGTAACTGACTGGATTTTCTTAGACATGTTAGACACGTTAGAAGTGTTGCTAGTTCATATAAAATGCAGCATTGTTGTATGCATTGGGATCTCAGGGATTTATTAATGTCTGGAGATTAGTAAATGTAGTGGTCATATGTATTTGAAGATCTTCATATCAGTCAATACCTTGTCATCTGTTACATTAAGTTGTCAAACTCAATACATTTATTTGGGTCACAACATCTTAAATAATCTGAAAATCTTTTTTTACCACAGACATTTGAGTAAATAAAATCCTGTCTTGACTGAGGAGCCAACAAAAGACTACCAAGATGGGGGCTCTGTTCCGTAGCGAGGAAATGAATCTGTGTCAGATTTTCCTCCAATCAGAAGCTGCCTATGCCTGCGTCTCAGAGCTGGGGGAGCTTGGGCTGGTTCAATTCAAAGATGTAAGGTTTATGTTATAAACCACATACAACTTTCTGAAGATCCTCATGTATTAGATATTTATTTCCATGCAAATTCATGATAACAGATTCATTCAGAAACCATACTTGTATTTTATTACCAACATGAGACAGCCTTGTTAATTTTACTATTGAAGAATATAATGCAATCACATTATTTTTCATTCTAGTATTGTTCAAGTTATATAAAAATATTCTACTGAATTAGTGACTTCTGTAAATTAATTGTTTTAATTTATTTGTAGCTGAATCCTGATGTGAATGCCTTCCAGAGGAAGTTTGTGAGTGAGATAATGAGATGTGAAGAGATGGAGAGAAAACTCAGTAAGTAGTTTTTGTGAGTGAGATAAAAGAATTGGAGATAAAACTCACTAAGGAGATTGTGTGAGTGAGATGGAAGTAAAGGAGAGAAACTCAGTAAGTAGAGTTTGTGAGTGAGATGAAAGAGAAAACTCAGTAGATTTTGTGACTGAGATGTGAAGAGATTGAGAGAGAGATGGAATGAAAAATCAGTAAATAGAGTTTGTGAGTGAGATGTGAAGAGAAGGAGAGAAATCTCCGTAAGTAGATTTTGAGTGAGATGTGAAGTGATGTAGAGAAATCTCAGTAAGTAGAGTTTGAGTGAGATGTGAAGAGATGGAGAGAAAACTGTAAAGTTTATGAGTGAGATAATTAGATGTGAAGAGATGGTGAGAAAACTCGTGAAATTTGTAAGTGAAATCTTAAAGCTACATGTAAGATTTTATAACCATTCTTCTTCTGTTTCATAGGTTGCCTTTATCATGAAATGAGACACTTAACATGTTATCACTGTTTGTTACAGGATATATACACAAGGAACTGAAGAAGGATGGAATGAAGATTCCAGACCGAGACGAGAATCCGAAGGCACCAGCTCCTAAAGAAATGATCGACCTGGAGGCCACCTTTGAGAAGATCGAGTCTGAGTTAAAGGAAGTGAACACAAATGCTGAGGCTCTCCGTCGTAACTATCTAGAGCTGACAGAGCTTAAAGAAGTCCTGAAGAAAACACAGCTCTTCTTCTCCGAGGTGGGTTTACATAAGGAATTCATAGACTCAGGACAACTCAAGTGAGTGTACTCGAGTCTCAAAGCTACTCATGAAAAAATATGATGAAGCTAATCTATCTATAGCAATGCCTTTAGAAAAGATGTGAAGAGTAAAGATCAATGATTGAGAACTAAACAGGTAGATAATACTGTAAGAAACTGAAAAAAAGCTACATCTATTGTATATTATGAACTCTTATGCAAATTCATCAATGTAGATAAAGAAAGGTATTGTCACTCTCTCATGGAATTCACTTTTTCAGCATGGCCGTCATGGTATTGTGGAGGATGCTCAGAGTGCTCTAGTCCATGATGAGGGAGGGGGATTTGTTCCCATCACTTCTGTACAACTAGGGTAAGTATTGTGCAACTCAGATAGATAATGTAAAGCTCAGTAGATATTGTACAACTCAGTAGATATTGTACAACCCAGTAGATACTGTACAACCCAGTAGATATTCTGCAACTCAGGTAGACGTTGAAAAACTTGGATAACCTGCTATTGTACATTTTGGTAGATATTGTATAACCGAGTAAATATTGAACACTTCAGGTAAATATTGTGTAATCAGGTAGACATTATACAACTCAGGTAACCTGATATTGTACAACACAGTAGATTCTGTACTTCCTTAAGTAATGTAAGTAAATACTGTACAACCTGAATGAATGTTGTACAGTCTAGTGTAAGTAAAGCTTCCTGTACTTATTAAATTGATAAAAATGATTGGTGACATATTATTGCAGACTTTTAGTTTTATATTTATCATCCTTGTATTTATTATAGGTTTGTAGCTGGTGTGATTCCCAGAGAAAAGGTACCTGCCTTTGAGAGACTTCTGTGGTTTGCTAACAGAGGGAACACATTCTTGAAGTACGACGAGATTGAACAGGCCCTGGAGGACCCAGTCACAGTGAGAAGAAATTCTACATATCTTACTATAAAGAATGCAAACATAGGAAAACTCCTGTTCAGACTTCGTGATAAAACTTGTCATTTAAATTTTCTGTTTAACGTTGTGAACATTTTACATGATTTATGATAAAATTACATTGTTTTCCAGGGAGATGCCATTTCTAAGTGTGTGTTTCTGATTTTCTTCCAAGGAGAACAACTTAAGGCTAGGGTCAGGAAGATTTGTGAAGGGTTGGTAACTCTAAAATGTATAAAAAAAAAAAAATAAATAAAAAAATAAAAATAAAATAAAATTTGGCAAAAATTCATTAATACTAGGTTAAAAATATTTTCAATTTTTGAATTTAAAAACTTGTAGGTTTAAAGCCACACTTTACCCATGTCCAGAGAGTGCTCAGGAGAGAATTGAAATGTTGAATGGTGTGTCTACTCGACTGGAGGACCTCAACACTGTAAGTACCCAGTGACTTGTATGTATATCCATACCTCAACACGGTAAGTACCAGGTAGCTTGTATGTATATCCATACCTCAACACTGTAAGTACCCAGTAAATACTCACTGACATGTATGTTTACATATGATAAATATCTATGGCACATATTAAATATGAAAAAAAAACTTGACAATTAATATCCTATATGTTTATCCATAATAAAATTGTCAGTTGATTGACATCCTAGCCACTGTGTAATTATAACAATTTGTAAATCTATAGGTTCTCCACCAAACCGAGGACCACAGGAAGAGAGTGTTGATGAGTGCCCAGAAAGAGATACGACCTTGGATTATCAAGGTCAAGAAGATCAAGGCAATCTACCACACCCTCAACATGTGTAACTTTGATGTGTCCCACAACAGTCTGATTGCTGAGTGCTGGACACCAGTCAGTGGGCTGGAGGAAATACAGAGGGCACTCAAACATGGCACTGTAAGTTCTGATCTTCCAAAAAATGCAAAAATGTTAACATTTGTAGTTCACGTTATGTACAGTAAAAACTGCCGTAGCGACCCACTGTAAGCGACTTACTGTCATATGTGACCGTAAAAAAATCCTCCCAATTCTTTTCCCTATATATTAAACCTGTATTAAACAACCACCTGTCTGATGCGACCAGAGACCGTGATTTTCCTAACCATTTTTAATGATTTCACGCAATTTAACCTTGATTAAACGACTATTTAATTTCCGATTCCTACTTTCGATTTCAGTCAAGCATGCTACATTTGTGGTTCAAACATCTATATTTACAGACACATGTTTTAATCATTTAAAAATTATATATAGTGAGTTTTACAAATAAAACAACATTACAAGATAAATACTTTTACTTACGTGTAGATATTTATTGAATAAACATTGAAATCTAAAATATAAATATTCACGTTGTTTGAACGCCATTTTGAAAATAAACGTATGAGGTCGATCCCGATATCATTTCGTGCTATAGCAGTATAAGGGCCTAATAGACATTCAGCTATAAAACTTGTCTGTTTTACTTTTAATTTACAAAATGCAAGTAACTAACTCCAACATGTATATTTAATTCAAATGTGTCACTGCATGGTTATGAAAACACACGGTAGCTAGCACCCAAACCAGGTGATAATTAGGGTACCTGGTGACAAACACGCAATTAGACGCGGTAATTTACTCAGGAAAAAATTAATTAGGTTAAATAATTTTTTAGTTATAAATTTAATTCTTATTTGTTACCAAATGCATAACATTAATCATGACACAATTTTAAATTCTTAATAATGTGCAGAAAATACGAAGTTTTATAATCTATTGTGTAAAACAAAATCTATTATAAGAAGAAAATCTTTAGAGCTTTTTTATTAGGATTAAAAAATCTCAATATTTTCAGAAAAGTGGAAATATACAGTACATGGTATAAAATACATTCCACATACATGTATAATATTTTCAGCATTGTATATTTGAACACTGCAGAAAATAAGCAACCTGTATTAAGAGACTACCTATCAAAACTCAAAAAATAAAAACATATATAAATAAACAAAATATCAAAAAATATGTGACCTTTTTTTCTTTCTCCTTTGGAAGGTCTCTTAATACAGGTTTGACTGTACTTGTAAATTCTGATGCACAGAAAATGAAATAATCAAAGATAAATTTTATACAAGTAGATATAAAAAATAACAAATATTTGTATAAACTATTTTTTTTTTTGGATAAACCTTATTTTGTTGATGATTACAGGAGCTGAGTGGAAGCACCGTTCCTAGCATTCTCCATCGTATGCAAACAAAGGAAGTTCCACCTACCTACTTCCGCACAAACAAGTTTACACTTGTGTTTCAGGAAATCATTGATGCTTATGGTATAGCATCCTACCAAGAGGTCAATCCAGGTGTGTAGATTTTATTATTTATATATTTTTATATGTACAATGTATAATGGGCACTCCAACTCATTGAAAAAAAGTATACACTTTGCATGTACATGCAACATTAGAGCATTTTGCATGTACATGCAATATTAGAGTATTTTGCAAGTATGATTCAGGTGTTGTTAAATAAGTAAACCAAATAACTAAACCTTTGCATCAGCAAAATGTAATATACATGTAAATACATGTATATGTATTTATGTACACTTTAAAATGAATAAGTTACACTTTAGCATATGCTGTCTACAGTCAAACTTTATCATCTCAAACTCAATGGGACCGAGAAAAAACTTCAAGATATCGGAGTATTCAAGATATTGAGGGTTTAATGCTTAAAGAATATGTCGTTGGGACTTCCAATTCACTTCTACATATCCATGGTGCTCCAGATATCACTTTTTGAGATACTGAAGTTCAACTGTATATAATTCATGTATATGTGTTTCTTCAGCTCCCTATGCCATCATCTCCTTCCCATTCCTGTTTGCCGTCATGTTTGGAGATTTTGGTCATGGATTCATCATGTTCCTGGCCGGACTGTGGATGGTCATCATGGAGAAAAAACTGATGGCTGACAAGTCAGACAACGAGGTAAGTGGAGGACAACAAGAAGTAAATTGGCAGTAATGTGGAGAACCATGCCTCAAGACAGAGTATAGGGGAAATTACACTAAATAGACAGTAATGTGGAGGGCCATGCCTCAAGACAGAGTATAGGGGAAATTACACTAAATAGACAGTAATGTGGAGGGCCATGCCTCAAGACAGAGTATAGGGGAAATTACACTAAATAGACAGTAATTTGGAGGGCCATGCCTCAAGACAGAGTATAGGGGAAATTACAATAAATAGACAGTAATGTGGAGGCCATGCCTCAAGACAGAGTATAGGGGAAATTACACTAAAAATGCAGTAATGTGGAGAACCATGCTTCATGACAGAGTATAGGGAATAGGGAATTACACTAAATAGGCAGTAATTTGGAAGACCATGCCTCAAGATAGAGTATAGGGAATGGGGAAATTAAACTAAATAGTCAGTAATGTGGAGGGCCATGCCTCAAGACAGAGTATAGGGAATGGGGAATTACACTAAATAGGCAGTAATTTGGAAGACCATGCCTCAAGATAGAGTATAGGGAATGGGGAAATTAAACTAAATAGACAGTAATGTGGAAGGCCATGCCTCAAGACAGAGTATAGGGAATGGGGAAATTACACTTCACAAAATAACATTGTATACATGATTATGAGGAGTTCATGAAATGAAACTGAACAACTATTGGTTTTGAATCTCAGATGCACTTGATAGGAACACCTGAACTCTTCTTGAATTTGATGTTGCTGTTAAATACATGTACACAAAGCTTGGATGTTGACTCTGATGAGAGAGAGATGGGACAACAGAGCAAATTTTGAAAGTACATGTACTTGTTTACAAAAACAAAGAGAAATACCACTGTGTGTATATTAGAAATGAGCCGTAACAGGAAATATATGTTATTTCAGATAAGGAACATGTTTTTTGGTGGTCGTTACATCATCACAATGATGGGTCTCTTCTCGGTCTACACTGGACTGATCTATAACGACATCTTCTCTAAATCCGTCAACATATTTGGATCAGCGTGGCACCCTAACTACGAGTAAGTATGTCTCTCTGTTCATGCAAAGCCAAATTATTTTGTCACATGTTACAGTATAGTATAGTTACTAATAGTTAGTACTTAGGTAAGTTATGAGTTAATTGTCAGTAGGTCTTTAGTTGTACCCTATAAATGTGGATTATAATTGATCTCTTGTAGTTTTGACACATTGATGGCTCAGTCCAGTCGAGTCCTAGATCCGCTGGAGCATTTTGACAATGCCACAGGTCCCTATCCTTTTGGAGTTGACCCAGTAAGTTACTGCTCTACATATGATACCCATTACAAATAAATGTAAATTATTGTCCATTGATTTTATACATGCAACCGTACAGTTAGTATTTGGAGGTACATTATTTATAGAAATCATCATACTTACATGTACATTTTTGTTAATTTCTTGTTTTGGAATACCTTATATGATGAACATGTAGGAATTTGTGCTTTAAAAAACTTTGTCATAAATGTATGAATGACATGTATCTTGATTGTTGATTATATTGAACAGTGATCAATTTAACTGTAGAAAAAAATAAATTATCTGATTAGTTGCAAGTTTAATTTACATAGGTATAGTCATGTCCTCATGTTTTAGTTGTTTTTGTGTCAAAAAGAGAAATTCTGATTAGATATTTCAAATAAAATTGAAAAAATCCTGGAAACTGCCAAGTGAAATTTACAAAATCAATACATATCTCTTCAACTTGCCAAATTTTCTACTTTTTGAAATTATCAGGTCAGAATGCCAATTTCTAAACTCTTTGATCTCTCATCCCCCCCCCCCCCTCCCCCACTCCAAAAAAAACATTTTGCTACTTCAAGTTTTTGGGAGTCACCTTACATGTATTTTGAATTTGCTCTGCAATTTAAAGATTCAAGTTGATCTGAACAACAAAGTAACACAGTCATCTTTTCTTTAAATTAGATCTGGCAGGGAAGTCTAAACAAGATCACCTTCACAAACTCTCTGAAGATGAAGATCTCTGTCATCTTTGGAGTTTCACAGATGTTGCTTGGTGTACTTCTGAGTTGTGTCAATCACGCGTAAGTCTTTTTTGTAAAAGATTCTTTGTAAACAAAGTCAGATATAAAATGTGTGAAATTTTTAAAGCTAAAATTATTGAACCCTGCATGTACAGTATTTGAATGTATTGTATAATATTTATATAAATAAATGAATTTTTTTTAAAAAAAATAATGTGCAAGTTTTCCTGAAAAATTGAAAAAAAAAAGTGAACAGATTTTAGTTTTTAGTTTTGGGAACATGCGTTTACCAATTAAGATGCTGTAACATTTAAAAAAATAAATAAAAGTAATATTCGGACACATGAACAGTGTGTATGTTTATTTACATTGTTACAAACTTGTTCTAAGAGAAGAATAAATGAAAGTGTTTGATTGGATTGTCTTTTTTGTGACCACCTTATTTATGTTAACATTTGTTTTATGAGGCTGATTCTGTGTTCCCCAGGTACTTCCGTCGGCCTCTGAACATCTTCTGCGAGTTTATACCTCAGTTGGTCTTCCTGTTGTGTCTGTTTGGTTACCTGGTGGCCCTCGTCTTCTATAAGTGGATCTTTTTCACCGCCCTCTGTACCCAGTATGCACCACAACTTCTGATCCGTAAGTAACACTTTATATATTGAACAGCAATCCATATTTTATCTTTCTGCTGTCTTATTTCCTTGAACTATGTTGCCATGGCTACTAAAAATAGACATTTCTGTGAAATTCTTTCAAAACACTACTCCTCCTGTATTTTTCTCTGATTTCAATAAATCTTGGTACACTAAGATATGTTTGATTCTGTATATCAGTTTCTGATTTTGACAAATATTGTTGGAAAAGGCTACTCCTCCTACAGTTTTGGCCCAATTTCAAATTAACTTGCCTCACAGAGACTTAAAAATCATAATTCTATTTCGATTGCCATAATTTCAAGCCAAATTTCTACTTTTCTCCTTTTTAGCTCACCTGAGCCGAAGGCTCAAGTGAGCTTTTCTGATCGAAATTTGTCCATTATCTGTCATCGTCATCGTAAACTTTTCACATTTTCATCTTCTTCTCAAGAACCACTGGGCCAATTTCAACTAAACTTGCCACAAAGTATCCTTGGATGAAAGGGATTCAAGTTTGTTCAAATGAAGGGCCATGCCCTCTTCCAAGGGAGATAATTATGAATAAGTAAAAAATTATTGGCATATTTTAAAAATCTTCTTCTCAAGAACCACTGGGTCAGGAAAGATGAAACTCATATGGAAGCATCCTCTTGTAGTGTAGATTCAAGTTTGTTCATATCATGACCTCCGGGGGAAGGGTGGGGTATCAAAGTTTAACATAGGAATTCATAGGAAAAATCTTCTTCTCAAGAACCACTGGGCCAGGAAAGATGAAACTTAAGTAGAAGCATCCTCTGGTAGTGAAGATTCAAGTTTGTTCATATCATGACCATGGGGGTAGGGTGGAACCACAATGGAGTATCAAAGTTTAACATAGGAACACATAGGAAAAATCTTTAAAAATCTTCTTTTCAAGAACCACTGGGCCAGGAAAGATGAAATTCATGTAGAAGCATCCTCTGGTAGTGTAGATTCAAGTTTCTTCAAATCATGACCCCCGGGGGTAGGGTGGGGCCACAATGGTGTATCAAAGTTTAACATAGGAATACATAGGAAAAATCTTTAAAAATCTTCTTTTCAAGAACCACTGGGCCAGGAAAGATGAAACTCATGTAGAATCATCCTCTGGTAGTGTAGATTCAAGTTTGTTCAAATCTTGACCCCTGGGGGAAGGGTGGGGCCACAATGGTGTATCAAAGTTTAACATAGGAATACATAGGAAAAATCTTTAAAAATCTTCTTCTCAAGAACAGCAAAGCCATGATTGGTCATAGTTATATGGAAGCATCCTCTGGTAGTGAAGATTCAAGTTTGTTCATATCATGACCCCTGGGGTATCAAAGTTTAACATAGGAATACATAGGAAAAATCTTCTTCTCAAGAACCACTAGGCCAGGAAAGATGAAACTCATGTAGAATCATCCTCTGGTAGTGAAGATTCAAGTTTGTTCAAATCATGACCCCCGGGGGAAGGGTGGGGGCACGATGGGGTATCAAAGTTTAACATAGGAATACATAGGAAAAATCTTTTTCTCAAGAACAGCAAAGCCATGATTGGTCATAGTTATATGGAAGCATCCTCGGGTAGTGTAGATTCAAGTTTGTTCAAATCATGACCGCTGGGGGTAGAGTGGGGCCACAATGGGTGATCAAGGTTTTGCGTAGGAATACATGGAAAAAATCGTTAAAATTCTTCACAAGAACAACAAAGCCATGATTGATCATGAATATAAAAGCATCAAGAAAGGTAATGTAGATTTAAATTTGTTCAAATCATGACCAATCAGGAGAATAGAGGAGCCATTAAAGTGGATCATAACAAAGGAAAATAAAGGTTATATCAATAAAAATTTTCATCTTATAAACAGCAAAGCCATTATGTGTCATATTAATTCAAAAGCATCCTTAGGAATTGTAGGTTTAAGTTTGTTCAAATACACCCCCCCCCCCCCCCAAACCCACTTTTATATTTAAACTTTTCAATACTGAACTGATATTTGCTTTTACCTAGCCAGTTCCTCAGGTGAGCAATGTGGCCCCTGGGCCTCTTGTTTATAAGTACAATCCAGTAGAGATACAGTGTTTGAAACTCACCGTAAAATTAGCTAGACATACAGGGCTGGCTGCTAGTGAAAGTTGTCAGCCCTACCAAAAATCCTCTAGCCTGAGAAAATAATTGTCTTTTATAAATTTGTTTTTAGCGATAATGTGAATTGGGCCAGATCACCATAACTTCAATTTTGAATCTATAAGCTAACAAATTCTACCCCTTTTACCTATTACACTTTGCTACTGATACAACATGTATAAATTGATCTGAGAAAGATTTATCAAATATATGAATTTTAATTTAAGTGAAATTTTAACACGTCCAGCCAGGCGTCAATATGTGCAAATCTGTTCACCCATGGCAAAATTTGTGCGTCTCAGGCGGTCGGGCACATGTTTATTTCAAACACTGGCTACAGTCTCATCAGAGAATTCTTTTTTTTTAAAGAGTTTATCAACATGTTTTTGATAACGTACACACCCCGCTCAAAACCAGCCAATTTTACTGGGGACCTGTATGCCTGCTCTAGTATTGAACCGAAAAGTATCAACGCAACGTCACAGACTGTCTTCTTTGAGTACCAGGTAAATACATGTACATATTTATATCATATTCTCTCCACTCAGAATCAGATGAATATGTGGTCATCATATCCCTACATCTTATGAACTTGATCTCTTTGTTTTTAGCAACCTATTCAGATCACTCTGGTTGTATTGGCGTTATCAATGGTTCCTATGATGTTACTAGTGAAGCCCTTTATCCTGAGAGCCAGACATAATGCCAGGGTCAAGGTTAGTATGTTACCATAGCAATGGGAAATGGAGGTCAAATAGAATAGGACTGTGTTTATAAATGTCAAAGCATTAACCTTGACTTAATGAGTCAACAAGGTGAAGGTCTTTCTTGAGGAGAAAAGCTTGATTTAATTTTCACCTACATGTACATGATTGTATATTTGTATCTCGTGTTGCTTATGTGTACATGTATATTGTTGATATTGATCATAATATGATAACTACACAGAAATTGGTGTAGAATTTTATATTCAGAATAAAATGTCATTATTTTTCTTTATTTTTAAATGTTTATATTCTTGTAACTAATCTAACTGGAATATCATAAGAAAGATCATAAGATGATTCATTTTCTGTTTTTATGCCCCCGGATCGAAAGATCCCAGGGGTATATTGTTTTTGTCCTGTCTGTCTGTTTTTCTGTTTATCTGTTTGTCTGTTTATCTGTTTGTCTGTTGTCAACTTTAACCTTGCCCATAACTTTTGATTGGTTGGAGCTTTGACTTTCATATTTCACATGTGTATTCCTTGTGACAAGACCTTTCTTTGGGTACCATCATATTTGACCTTTTGACCTTGACCTTGGAGTTTGACCCACTTTTGCAAAATTTTATGAGACTTTAACCTTGGCCATAACTTCTGAACAGTTGGTGCTTGGGGTTTCAAACTTCACATGTGTATTCTTTGTGACAAGGCCTTCCTTTGGATACCAACAACTTTGACCTTTTGACCTTGACCTTGGAGTATGACCTACTTTTGAAAAACTTTAACCTTGGCCATAACTTTTGAACAGTTGGTGCTTGGGGTTTCAAACTTCACAGGTGTATTCCTTGTGACAAGACCTTCCTCTGGATATCAACCTCTTTGACCTTGACCTAGGAGTTTGACGTACTTTTGAAAAAATTTAACCTTGGCAATAACTTTTGAACGGATAAGCTAGGGCTTTCATACTTCACATATGTAATCCTTGTGACAAGACATTCCTTTGGATACACACTTTGACCTTTTGACCTTGACCTAGGAGTTTGACCTACTTCTGAAAAACTTTAACCTTGGCCATAATTTTTGAATGGTTGGTGCTAGGGCTTTCATACTTTACATATGTAATCCTTGTGACATCACCTTCCTTTGAATACCAACCACTTTGATCCTTTGACCTTGACATAGGAGTTTGACCTACTTCTTAAAAATTAAACCTTGGCCATAATTTTTTAAATGGTTGGTGCTAGGGCTTTCATACCTCACATATGTAATCCTTGTGACAAGACCTTCGTTTGGATACCAACCACTTTGACCCTTTGACCTTGACATAGGAGTTTGACCTACTTTCGAAAAACTTTAACCTTGGCCATAACTTTTGAATGCTTGGTGCTAGGGCTTTCATACTTTACATATGTAATCCTTGTGACAAGACCTTCCTTTGGATACCAACAACTTTGACCTTGACCTTGATGTTTTACTTACTTTTAAAAAACTTTAACCTTCGCCATAACTTTTGAACAGTTGCAGCTAGGGCTTTCAAATGTAACATTTTTTTATCTTTTGGCCTGGATTCTGACTTGCATTTGAGAAACTTTAACCTTTGCCATAAGCTGCCATACGGGGGCATCAGTGTTTCACAAACACATCTTGTTATTTTTTGGATCTAATCTAACTGGTACTTCATTAGAAAGATCAAAAGATGGTTCATTTTTGTTTTTGGTTTTGACCATTAATATTACTTGTTTCAAATTAGTAACCTGTTAATTTTTATTAAATCTGTGACCTGTGAATTTGATCATGTGACCTTTGATTTGATCATGTGACCTGTAGTTGTAACTGATATTGATCATGTCACTTTGTACAGGCCAGTAACAGTGTGAGTATGGAGTACTGCTAGTAATGTAACAGGCTAGCTGTGTGTGTATGTTTCAGTTTTTTTACAGGGCTGTCAGTTATTATTATAATTAACACAGATTTTACTACTCTATTTTCATAATTGTTATGATTTTTTATTATGCATCTACTTGCATATAAGATTAGACATATCTTTATGGAAGAGGTCATATCTGTTAATCAGATATGTAAAACTAAAGCTATTTTCTTGCCCCTTAACCAACTTACAAGCAAATATTTACAGATAATTGATAACATATTTAGGATGTAAACCAAAAGCAATAGGTATGCTTGCTCATATTAACACAGCCTGCATTGCATTCTTGTGTGATATTTTTCAAATTTTAATGGGGTGATAAAATTATATTTTTTGAAAGGGAAGTCAGTGAAAGAGTATCTCATTCATATCTCATCATATAGTGGTGTGAGATATATATCTCATGATTTAATGCTGGTGAGATATCATATGATGGTGATGAGATATATGCATCTCTTGAGTTAATGGGGGTTATATAGCATCAGTGAATATCATTTAGTGGTGGTGAGATAAACATCTCATCAGTTGGTGGTGAGACATACTGAGATATACCCCAGTACATCTCATCATTGAAGTTGAGATATCTCGCCAATTACTTATTGTGAGGTATACACAGGTACTTCATACGATAAAGATCTTTTAATTTAGCACATATATCTGGAAAGAGCTTTGCTATGAGAAAGAGCACAAATATGTTAGTTCATCCACAAATACATGTATATGTTTATTGTGAAATTATTAGAATTATTAAGTATTTGGAATGATCATTCTGTATTTTATTTTAAAAATCTTTCCATTCAAATGTACACTTCATTTCAGTGAACTAGATGAGTGTAATTAATATTGTGTGTGTACACCCTGGGGTACACTAGGATTTGCTTTTGAGTAATCACTCTGTCCATCTGTCTGTGTGTCTGTCATTCAATTTTCTTTTTTTTTCAAAAATTTTTTTATGAATGAATATTATGTTCCTATTTGGTATCAAATTTCAGTAGACAGCAGGACATCTTTTGATACCAAGGTTGATTCTGTATGTTATCCAGCTAGGGGCTGGGGTGATGGGATAAACTCAAGTAGAGTAGCAAAGGGTTCCCTGGGATTAGTTATCTTGCCTGCTGCAGCAGAGCCTGTTTTTATCATGTTTAAATTGATGAACACCTCTACCTGCAAGTGATGTTTGGTTTGAAGTTGAAACCTGGATGATCTTTGCATTCTTTGAAGGCTGACAATTTGTAATTTGCCTACTTTATCCTTGTTCAGACACACATTTGATTGAATTATTTTTTAAGGATTTACTTTTTCAGTAAATTAATATATAAAGGTAGGGATTTTTTATTACTGCCATATGTAAATACAAGGATAATGCTTGTTTTTTCCAGGAAGTTGAATATTGATCTTATTCTGTCATAATTTAGGAGATGTCTTTGAATTTCATAGTTACAGTTGAGTTGTCATTTCACATTTTTCTCATATATTTTGAACTTTTCTTTCTTTATCAAGTTATCATATTCTCACCTGTATTATCCCACATTCATATGCAAATCTGTTTATGTGGCCCTTGCTGACTTGTCAGTTTTCTAGATTGTCTTGTAAATTTACATAACAAATTAAACTACGTAAATCCATTATTTGTTAATTGTTCAGAAAAATTCATTATTTTTGCACTTAGTATTTAGCCAGTTTAATTAAATCCTTAAATTTTAGATACCAGACTGCCACCTCATACATCCACATTATTTTTGTTTTCAATGGCTCACCTGAACCAAAGGTTCAGGTGAGGTTTTCTGATCACCTGTCATCTGTCTGTCAGTCTCTTAACTTTTAACATTTTTTAACCTTTTCTCGAGAATCATTGAACCAGTTTCAACCAAACTTACCAAAAAGCATTCTTGGGTAAAGGGGATTCAAGGTTGTTTTTTTTTTTAAATAAGGGCCTGTCCTCTTTAAAGGGGAGATAATCAAGAAAAGGCAAATATAGGGTGGGTGTCTTAAAAAATCTTCACAAGAACCACTTGGACAGAAATATGTGAAAGCTTCCTGATGTATAAATTCAAATTTGTTCAAATCATGGCCCTCCAGAGTAGGGTCAGGCCACAATGGGTGATCAAAGTTTTACATGTGAATATGTGTGAAAACTCTTTAAAAGTTTTCTTCTCAAGAACAGCAGACTCATGTTTAGTCTTTTTAAAGTGGAAGCATCCTCAGGTAGTGGAGATTCAAGTTTGTTTAAATCATGGCCCCCAGGGGTAGAGTGGGGCCACAATAGGAGATCAAAGTTTTACATATGAATATATAGGAAAAAATACCCTTAAAAATCTTAAAATCTTCTTCTCAAGAACAGCGAATCCATGATTTCTCACAGTAATTCGGAAATACCCTCAAGTTGTGTAGATTCATGTTTGTTGAAATTATTACCCCAGGGGTAGGGCCGGACCACAATAGGCAGGGGTAGGGCCAGACCACAATAGGCAATCAAAGTTTTACAGATGTATACAAAGAAAAATTTTCTCAAGAACAGTAAAGTCATGATTAGTCATAATTATAATGGAAGCATTTTCAAGTAGTGTGGATTCAAGTTCAAGTTTATTCTAATCATTTATTTTTATCATATTCATTTATCGTTAATTCCCCCAGAAGGGAAGCATGTCACCACAATGGATGATCTAACGTTTACGTAGAAATAAGTAGGAAAAAATCTAAAAATTTTCTCAAGAACAACAAAGCCATTTAGTTGTATTTTTATGGAGGCATCCTCAGATAGTGTAAATATAATTTTGTTTAAATCTTGTCCCCTGAAGGTAGGGTAGGGTCACAATGGGAAGTCAAAATTTTATGTAGAAATATCAAGGGGGAAAAAATCTTCTCAAAACAGCATGGCCAAAGTGATATAAGTGAGTGTTGTGGCCCATGGGCCTATTGTTTTTCAGATATTATAGGAAACTTATAGAATTTAATAATGCATTCATATTTATTCCTCACTATCAAGAAAAAGTTACAATATTTAAAGTAAAATACAAATATTTAGAAATTATGCAACACAATCATGTTGCATTTTGTGCGCTACTTTATTATTGCATATTGTTGTCATTAATTCAAATAGCATGTATAGGAAAGAGATCAGAATATCTCTGCTGTTATTTTAAGGTTCATCAAGTTATTCATTTTTCTGTATTGGATGTGTTTAACACAAGAAAGCATGTCTTTTTTCTTTACATTTCAAAATCTAATGACCTTGTCCATTTATTGTTAAACAGAGTACAGTAATATGCATTTTAATTTAAAAGTAATTTAGTGTGCAATTTTACAGAGAGATGAATTATATAATTAAAAGTCTGGAATTTCATATGAATATAGATTAAGTGTATAATTTTCTATTTCTTCTTCAGCGACGGCAAGGGCTTTATGCCACTTCACAGCGAACACTGATAAATAATGAGGAACCACCTGATCAGGTAGGCATAGCAACCATCATTACCATAGAAACCATGTCAAGTTGCAGTTGAAACATCACTGACAAACACTGTACCTTACATTTCATGTATTTTGACAAGGTTGCAGTTGTTTTTATACTAAAATAAAAACACTATAAATTTGTTAATGCTTTAAGTGTCATCCTAACATGGGACAAACTAATATCAGTCATTAGATCATTAACAGCATGTAGAAGGAGTGATGCAAGATGGGTTTCTCAGTGTCATAAATCCAATAATGAAAAAAATGGTGATTTAACACAATACAAAGCTAAGACTAAACTAAACATAAAATTGTCTAATATTTAAATAGTAGAAATAAAATATTTAAAGGAATGTAGGAGGGGAAAAGGAGTTGTGAGGACTTTGCCACTGTTTAAGTCATCTGGTGGTGATGTTTTAAGAATTGCATGGCTGAGTTGCATGTGAATTTCGCAATTTTTTTTCTATTTTGGTGAAAATTTTAAGATTTCCTTATGTGTGTAATATTGGCTTGCTGCTTTTTCTAAAATCAACATATTACCTGATCTTTTATTTATTTAATTTTCTTAATTTTTTGGCAGGAAAATATATAATATGACATTTTTTTGTGGCCTGCATGTTTTTAAACAGCTGTTGTATGTTAATAGAGTTGTGGCCAGTCTGTTAGGGGAGTCCACCATACTGTTTTCTGTGGGTAGATTTTTATTAATTGATGTGCATAATAATTTTGTAGGCAAAGTATGAGGAAAATTTTATTAGTTTATTAAAAACCTCTATTAAACAATTGTAGGAAACTCCCAAGTTCTGATAATGTTGAGTGGTGTGGAAATTAAATGTGTTATAAATTTTAAAGGCCCCTGTAGTACACCTGTAAGCAGAATTCAGACTGGTGGGCCCTCCATTTTTAACACCCCCTGTACTTAAGCTTCAGTCTGATTTTTTGCCTTTTCGCCTCTAGTCAGATGACACTAAAAAGGGTAAGGGGGAGAGACCTGAGGCCCATCTGTCTGACATTGAGCTTGGGGTAAGTTTTCGGGTGTGTTTGCGGATTTACCAACCATAGCTTAGTCCAGAATGTCAAGTTGCAACACTTATGAAGTGGGATACATTAACAAGTTAAGGTTTTATTAGCTTACTCGAGTCTGGGGCTCTACTTATGTTTTCTGATCACACATGTCCATTGTCTACCTGTACAGTACTTTGGAAGAACTTGACCAATTTCAATTTAACTCGGCACACATCATTGAGTGATGGGTGTAGTCAAAACAAAGCAAAAATTAGATTTAGTTTAATAATCTTGTGGGAATCAAACTGCTGCTGCTTCCTTCAAGGTCAAATGTCAAGATCAAGCTGAACAGGTCAGCATCCTTGAGTCAATACAAATGCTGTATATCAATCATATGATTAGACTTTGCTCAAGGATATTTTTTTTCTAATTTACAAAATCCATTTATGTTTTTTTTTTTTTTAAACTAGTAATTTTCTGACTATTTGATTTATTTTAGAAATTCATTTCAAAAATTAGGTGCAAGTACCATGGTTATAATTTTCCATACATTGAAAATTTGAAAATAAAAAACCTGAAATATAATCCTTACAATGTCAAGGCTTTGTGATATCATTCCTCTACACAAATCCTTGACAAAAGTCACGATTTAAGAGTTGGGCTAGATTAGCTACTACATGTACTTCATTTGTTCCCAGTTTTGGACTGGGAACGATTCAGTAAATGGCTTTTATACTGGGTAAATTTTATAAACAAAATGGAAAGTTTTAGTTGTTGGATGTGTGAGAAATTACCTCTCATAAAGTTTTAGAACCTCTCAATCATGCACAAATACAAGAGATTCTGGGCTATAAGCCACTAGAAAACAACAGATTGTCAAATTATGTATATCATTTGTGTCTTAATAAACTGAACAAAACTAGATCTCGAAAATAAACAAAAACCAAATGAAAATGAAAAAAAGTGAACTTCTCTGCATTTTTTTGAGCTCAGATGTTCTGTGAAAGAGAGATTCTCATTGGTTGGTTAAATTATTACATGTATTACCCATTTATGTCATGTGTAAACACTAGCCCAACTTTTGTCTAGCGACTTTTATCAAGGGTTTGTGTTTAGGAATGATATCACAAACTTTGACATGGTGAGGATGGTGGAATAGAGTCATTTAATTTATGGCCTGTGAGGCCAGAGAGAGAGATATTTGTAAGTCCTGATTTGCTGTAAGAGTTACCAAGTGAGCCTTGTGGCTTAGAACCCTTTTATTCTGATTTAACTGTCCATAGTTAAATCTTTTTAAGAAGAGAATTATTGAATTACTTACAGCCAACCTTACTTCAATCACAGGTGCATGCTTATGATTTTTTTTTTCATCACTGTCAAAATTCTTGATGCATGGAAATTTATGTTCCTTTGTATATAATGTACTTTATTTGCAACTTGACTTCTTTATAATCTACCAAATAACCTAAGAAAAATGTCTTCTTGCTTTAAGGGAGATATATATATTTATATTCTGTATATATTCGGAAACCATATAGCCTGCTGCTTGCTTATTTCTATACAACAATTGGTAATGTTTACATAAAAAAGTTAGTTAGACTGTGTATTCTGCTTAACTAAAGGTGACGGAGAATTTTGCATGAGAGTATTAATCGGGAGCCTCACTTAAAAAAAAGTCAAATTCTTCAGCATAAATGGTCAACAATATGAAGAATTTTATAGCATTTAGTTGTTCTCCCTTCCTTATATTCCATTATCTATACATACACTGTACCAGTACTTAATATTGTACATGTTGTATGTGTTAACATATAAACAATACTATACTACACTCTGTAAGAGTGCAAGTTTCTAGTATTGTTTTGAGGATGTTTCTAGCAGCTAATATATTACATTTTTTGTATTATTTTTATTGTTTTGAAGTTGCCTTAGAAAGTATTCTTTATTCATCTTGTTCAAAAGGACATAACAAGGACATAACATTGAAAAAAAGATAAACTAGTCCTTTGATTGACATGTCATTGGAGCATGTGAAAAGAGCTTCTTAGTAGACAACAATGTACTCAGACTTGTGTATCGGCAAATTTAGACAAAATTTTGTTTTCAGGTTCATGTAGCCTTTCACATTAATATGCATTTGCTAACTAAATACTTCGTATTGCAATGCACATATAAAGAAATGTCTTATGTAAGGTGTTATGAATGTGTTTTGATATGGAACATCTATTTTTCTAAAATTTTGACAAGTATATTTCAGACTTATTTATGTTTCTACCCTTTGTTTCATCTTTTCTAAAGACACTTACTTCTTAAGTCCTAATCTTCTGGTGAATTTTGTGGTATTCAGGTTAGAGATTCTGGGAAGAATGCAACCATGTCAATTAATGGAGAGGAAGGGGGCGTGGTCAATCACACAGAAGGCGGGGCTGCAGGACATGAGGAGGAGGAAGAAGAAAAGGTGACATTTTCACATTTTATTGTTTTATATGTCAATTATTTAAGAGTCAGTTCCATATCATTATAACAAATTTAAGAACAAGGTCTTGAGGATTTCTTTCATGTAAGAAAAATACAGTTCAGGTCAGCATTGTAGCCTGTGTGCTTTGATTTCAGTTTGAGATGGGAGAGGTCTTTATACACCAGGCCATTCATACAATAGAGTACTGCTTGGGCTGTATCTCACACACTGCCTCCTACCTACGTCTGTGGGCGCTTAGTCTGGCTCATGCTCGTAAGTACTTGTCCTCAGCCTCAGTCCCGCTCATGCTCGTAAGTACTCATCTTCAATCTCAGTCTAGCTCATGCTCCTAAGTATTCATCATCAGTCTCAGTCTGGTTCATGCTCGTAAGTACCCATCTTTTGCCTCAGTCTGGTTCATGCTCGTAAGTACCCATCTTTAGCCTCAGTCTGGCTCATGCTTGTAAGTACCCATCTTTAGCCTCAGTCTGGCTCATGCTCATAAGTTTACATCTTCAGTTTCAGTCTGGCTCGTACTCGTAAGTTTACTCAATGCTACCTTCTTGTCTGCAAACAGGGTAGTTTTTAGGTGTCTTCTCTCATAAATGAAGCTTATACATATCCAATCCTTTAGTTGTTATCTGATTAAATGTTGTTTTTTTACAGAGTTGTCCGAAGTCTTATGGGGGATGTTGTTTCACATCAGTCTCACTATGAAGTTTGAGTACGTGGGAGGGATCATTATTTGGGCGGTGTTTGCAGTTTTTGCTGCCGTGACTGTTGCTGTATTACTGTTGATGGAGGGACTCTCTGCTTTTCTTCACACTCTCCGTCTTCACTGGTAAACTCCATTTAATTATTAATCAATACTTTATCTATTTGTTGACTTACTTTTCCAATTATATTGGAACTTTTCCATTAAATTATGTGTATTGTGAGACAAATCTTCACTCCATGCAGGTATGCCCATTGTTACATGTATTTACCATATTACCATTAACAGTCAACATTATGTTTTGTTCTGTATTTTTTAATAGGGTGGAGTTTAACAGTAAATTCTACATGGGGGAAGGTTATAAGTTTGCTCCCTACAGCTTCAAGCACCTGCTGGATGCTGATTTGGACGATTAACCTGAACCACGTCACATAATTCTGGTGCTCATTGAACAACCAGGACCATGCCTTCTGTAGATTGTTCCTTCTTTATTTTAGAAAAACAAAGGGCTTCCAATTATGTATTAAACAACTGCGGATTTGAAATTACTTGATAATGACATTCTATGGTTAAACCGTTTGATTGGTGCTTAGTGTTGAAGAAATGTTTAACAACAGAGTGAGGTACAAAAAATTGTCACATTTCTGTTTCGCTTTTTACCAATTGACATTAACCATTCTGTGATTATGTATTTGTTGGGAAATTATAAACATTTTTAAATTAGAGGAATTGAGTATTACTTAGGTTGACCAATAAAGCATAATCTGCTGATTTTTGAAACTGAACGTATCAGTATATGTTGATTAATCTTGTTTGTCTCATTAACAGAGTTTTTCTGATGATATCAGTGTTTTCTGGTGATATCAGTGTTTACTGTTGAATGGAATCCTGCTGTTTACTTGTTAAATCTAGGTCAAGGACATTCAAGGCTGATCCTCTGATATACTGAAATGTCTGGACTAAAATTGTTTCTGTGATTATATACTCATCAGTGATATTGATTAAAGAATATTTCCTGCTACATATAGTTTTCCTTTATATTTTCAAAATAATTGCAATTCCATTCTTTTCTGACCAGCTAAATATTGTGCCTCTATTCTATATCTATTTCTTTTTGTACAACACACATTTTAAAGTAGGAAAGGTAGGATAAAATTTCACAAAGGTCAAAATTTAAAACATAATTAGGGCCCCGCTCTGCGGGTGCCCTATAGTGATCAGTCTGTCCATCCGTCCGAGATCTCTTGTCTGGAGCATATCTTCTCTCTCCTTGGCCCAATCTGGCTCATACTTCACCCACAGAGTGTCTGTGGGTAGAGGGTGTGCAGTGACCTTGAACCATGTGTCAAGGTCATAGCAGAATTATATGAAAAATCCTTGTCTGGAGCGTATCTTCTCTCCTCTTGGTCCAATGTGGCTCATACTTCACTCACAGAGTGTCACTGGTCAATGGATGTGCAGTGACCTTGAACAAAGTTTTTAGATCAAGGGTCAAGGTCAAAAATAGCCTCTCTGTTTAAATTCTTGTCCGGAGCATATTTTCTCTCTCCTTGGCCCAGTCTGGCTCATATTTCACCCACAGAGTGTTTTTGGGTAAAGGGTGTGCAGTGACCTTGAACCATGTTTCTAGGTCAAAGGTTAAGGTCATAGCAGAATTATAGGAAAAATCCTTGTCTGGAGCATATCTTCTCTCCCCTTGGTCCAATGTGGCTCATACTTCACTCACATAGTGCCACTGGTCAATGGGTGTGCAGTGACTTTGAACGAAGTTCTAGGTCAAGGTCAAAAATACCTTCTCTGTTTAAAACCTTTGTTCAGTGCATAATTTCTTTCCTTTAATTCCAGTCAGCCTCAAACCTTACCAATTGACTTCGGGTTCGCAACATTTGTGATTTTCTTCCATATTTCTTATAGAGGATATGCAACAATTTTGAATTCATAGAGGATATGCAGCATTCATGAATTTTGTGCCGTTTTTTGATAGAGGGAATGGAGCACTCATGATTTTCGTGCCATTTTTTATTATAAGAAGTATAACATAGAAGCCCTTTAGACTCAAACAACACATCCCTTAATAGTACACAAATGTTCCTCTTCAAAATAAACCCTTTTTAGCTACCTTACATTTTCATGTTCCTTGCTGAAAGTGGGGCCCTTTGAGATGGCTACCATCTCAATGATATCTAGTTGTTAATAATTAAGCACTGAATTCTTATTTTTTAGATGTCGTCCGTCCTATCACAGCATCTGGACTTGCTGACAAATTGAATACCACGGTGTGATAATTTGTTGGCATGGACAGGTGCTGTCATAAGACCGACAACATCCAAAAATAAGAATTCAATGCTTATATTTACATTTTCTAATTTTTTTCTCTTCATAATTGTTAATTTCGTTCATCTTTATAATGAATAAAACACCTTTCAGAAATGGTCCACTTGAAACACATGTAGATATAAGAGCCATTGTGATGTGGAAAGTTGAATAACACAAATGAATATTGAGAGGGGGGAAAATGACTAATTTTAAATGTACAATTGTTACATTTTTACCATAATTTAATAGGATAATTGTTTTTAATTAAATTGAGCCAAAACAATATATGTGTAGTGTTCCAAGAGTATTGAAGGTTTCGCATGTGTTACAGGGTATTGATTGTTGTAGATTTCCATTGGATGTCATAAAGAAAATTACGAGGTACACTGAATATAAATACGAACCAGAAGTCTCTGTCAAGACTGTAGCTCTACTGGTTTGTACTTATAATCAGACTAAACTGTAGGAGGAGTAACCTTTAAAAAGAATTTTACAGAAATTTAAGTTACCATGGCAACATCATTCACCAGAATCAAAAAAACGATAAAGACAATTATGTATCTCAGTGTAGTCTACTTGCATACCATGCTATATTAAAATCAGACCAAAACTTTAGAAGGAGTAGCATTTTGAAAGTATTTCACAGAAATTTCTATTTTTAGTAACCTGGCAACACCGTTCATCAAAATCAAAAACCAATACACAGAATTATGTATCTTAATTTGGTCTACTTGTGTGCCAAATTATATTGAAATTTAACCAAAACTGTAGGAATAGTGTTTTGAATGCATTTCATAGAATTTTTTTTAGTAACCATGGCAACACCATTCACGGAAATCAAAAACCGATACACAGAATTATATACCTTAGTGTAGAATACTTGTGTGCCAAGTTATTTTGAAATCTGACCAAAACTGTAGGAGGAGTAGTGTTTAGAATGTATTGCACAGAAATTTCTATTTTTAGTAACCATGGCAACACTGTTCATCGGAATCAAAAACCCAAATATAGAATTATGTATCTTAGTGTAGTCTACTTGTGTGCCAAGTTATATTGAAATCGGACCAAAACTGTAGGAGGAGTAGCGTTTTGAAAAATTGTTTACAGACAGACGGATGACGGACACCTTATTTATCGCATAAGCTCTACTGGTCTCTGACCAGTAGATCTTAAACTTAATGTGGAGGAAAAACAGACATTACTTGGTCAAAGGTTGAGATGATTAATACATTTACAGTAGGGATGTCAATTTTGCTTTAATAGCCTAGTCAAATAATCTGGGGCTTCATGCTTATGATAGTCGAGTACTCGTTTAAATAATTTTCTCACATCGGTAACTTTGTCCTTTTTAGACTGCTGGTACACTCAATATTTAAATCAATTAAGCTACCATCACAATCAACGAATTTCTAAATACTTAGGACAAGTAAATACTGAGTAGAAAAAAACTGCACTACATGCATTTTAATGCCAAATTAATTTGTTACTACATAATTTATCTAAATGTCCTCAATTAAATATAGGCTTAAGTATTAATCAAACCCCTCAATTATGTATTACATAGGATTAAGTATGTAATCAAACTTTGTTGAAAAAAAATTAATCTGCAACATCAGAGGAGGGTATAAACCATGACATCAGCTGAAGAAAAATAATATCTCAATTTTTTTAAACTTTCATTTGGAATTACAATTATAAAGCATAACTGAGTAAAAAAAAATTAGTCAATGGAGAATGTCTCGAGAAAAATTAGTTTTACCAGTAGATAATTTGGTTATTGACCATACAGACATACAGTCTAATATATATACAAGTATTACATCTATTTGAACGAGATCAATGCTGGCCTAATCCCAATCACAAATACTTGATGGTACATATATATGTACATTATCTAAGTGACGTTTTCTCCCTCCCTTGACTTTACGAGGAAACTTGTGTCTGAGATATACATTGTATCTGTATCTACATGAAGTTAAGTGGTCCATTGAAGAGAGTTTGATATCTAGCACTTTGCCTAGCCACACTGATATCAAGATATCAACAGCAGTCCAAATACTTTGTATTGGCGTCTCTTGAACAAAGAGTAAAGATTATATACTGATATGACTACTACCTATTTAGGTGATGCAGTGCTGGTACATACATTTTTATTTAAATTAAATTAAATTAAAAAAAATAATTTACATATGGAAAATATGAGTCTAATACATCATCTGAAACGAAACATAATATTAAGTACATCTTTGAATGCTGGTTGGGACTGAAGACTTTGTCTGGAGATAAAAGCAAAAGTAGTCCAGAAGGTGAGTTACATGCTTTCTATAGGTAACCTTATAAATTGATCCAGAGTCAAACTGAAGTATGGAACTGATTATGACAAGTTATGGGAAACTAATGATTGTCAAGCTGTCCACATACATGCCTGAGTAGTGTAATATACTCCAGAAAAAAACTATGAAACTAAATGAGTGAGTTTGGAAAAGAAAAAATTTAACCACAGTCACGCATTTTAACACACATACCATTTCCCATTTCTAACGCAAAATAACGCATATACCGTTTCCCCGCAATCACAAATTTTTCACGCACTTTCAAAAGTAAATTTAATCTTCAATTGAATTGAATGCCAATTCCTTTCTATTTTATACTTCCTGAAATATCATTAAATAAGAAAAGTTATAATCTTATTAAAATATTACGTCATAATTATTTACTCTAAACTTTAGAGAAACTTGTACCGCTCTATAAAGTGCTTGCGGGGAAAAGGTAATTCATTTTTCTGTGACGTGAACATTAAGTGTATGTTGCGTCACAGTTCAGTAAGTTGTAAAGAGTTAGAGTTGACGACAACAAATGACACGACAAACTTAGATCAGAAAAACTACTTCGATATATAACCATGGTAACATGCATCTGATTCTATTCATCATATCAGTTAACTAGGAATATTGACAGTTTACCAAAAGGAAACTGAACCTTTAATAAAAACTTGTACAATACAATGCATAACTTGGAACAGATTCATATAACCACTTATCATATATTTTTATATGCTCTATATTTGGTCATGTATTGTTCTTTTTTTTTTTAAATATTCAGAAACCAAAATCTAATGTAAGTATATTGTCTTTAAAGAATCCCATATAATAGAACTAAAGTTTTGTGTCCACACCACATAACTTTATATCACAAAAACATGATTCCATGTCATGATAAATTTGTTTGCTGATAATTAATAGCACTTTATGAATCAAAATGGAGCTGTTTTGAACACAGTCCTTTAAGTCAATTTAACAAGCACTGATTGATCTGTAACAATGAGGGAATTCTCGCATTTCTGAGGAGAATCACACTGGATTTAACACTACATGCAGGCTTTGATGTCCAACACTGGCCTGCCCATTCCCCCCAGAGAGAGGTCTTTATCACAGATATAGACACCATTAGCTGTGCGATCAGTTCCGGGCCGAGGAAACTGTCCCAGGGGCAATGGACATCTCCCCTCCTTGGCCTCCATCTCGGGGTGGACTCTGCAAATAGACAACTCTTCATCAAATGACTCTTCAATAAATGACTCTTCAAAATCCAAATGATACAATACTGTACAGCAGGTTAAAATGGTGGTCGGAAAAGATCACTGTTTTCTCAATTTGCAGCAAATAGCATTTATCTTAATTTGTGGAAAGGAAAAACTAGACAGAA